AAAGGAAAAAAAAAAGCTTTATTTTCCTGAATTTGTTTTTCTCGTTGAGGTGAAGTTGGTGACTGTCATGCAGCTGGTCTGTCTGACACGATGTTTTCTCTTCTCTGGGGGGTGCCTGGAGGAGCAGCACTGGTTCATTCCTTTCTTGCCCTTGCAGGGAATTGGTAACACGTTCCAAGGAGGTGCCAACTGCATCATGTTTGTGCTCTGCACTCGGGTGGTCCGGGCTCGGCTGCTTTCCTTCATCTGCTGCTGCAGACACGACGAGGGGGATTGGCCCTGGCAAAGATCAAACAGCTCCTGGCAGCGCCCAGAACCCCACAAGGACGTGCCAGGCCCTGAGCAGACAAAGCCACTGCTTTCCAGCACCTGAGCTGCCTCCACCTCAGCGTCGAGTCCTTCTTTCATGGTAAAAAAATCCAGTGTGAGTCTTTCCTCCTGCCTTGCCTGTGCTTCGTGGTCTGAGGGTGGGGACAGCTACCAGGGAGCAGCTGGCAGAGGGGGGTTTCTGCTGCTGTTGCTGCTGCTGGGGGGGATTCCCTGTCTGACTTTGCAGGTCTTAAACCATTTATAGAACTGCTTCACCCCCTTTTCCCCCAGCTGGGGTGGTGGCTGTTACTTGAGTCTGTAAAATGAGGAACTAGACTGCAGGGCTGTCTGGCCCTCAAGGGCAGGACACCAGTGAAAACTGAAGAAGAGGAATTAGTGGCTCTTTTTGATCTAAAATACCACGTGCACACACATTTCATCAGCACTGCACAGTTCAGATGTTTAGTGCCCCGAGTCTTCCTCATGAGGGAACACAATCCCTGCTGCCAGTCACCATGAAAGGGAAAAGGAGGGGAAGTGATTCATCCAAGCCTGCCTAGAAAGTCTCTAGGAGCAAAAATTCGACAGAAGCTCTTAATTTCAGGCACAAGATGGGGCACTGATGTCCTTGCATTGTTGTGTGAGCACCTGGTTCCTTTGTGCTTGACCTCATGAGTGAGAGCTGCAGAATTTATAGGGGTGTCAAATCCCAGAGCACTTGGGGCCAGGGTGCTGTGTGGGTCTCTGTCTGTGAAGCAGGTATTGATAGAGCTCTCTCCAGGAGAGAGAGCAGCTGTCCTGACTGTTCAGATAAATGTGCTGGCATGTGCTGCCTCTTCAGGAAGGGTATGAAACCATCTGTGCTTCTGCAGCTGTACTTTTCCCTGCAGGTCACACTCAGTCCAAAGGGCTGAGCCTGAAAGGCAAATGCCTGCCTGGGCCATGGGGATGGCAGGGGATGAGCATCCTGGAGGGACGGGGCTGTGGGGCTCCGAGGGGATCTCTCTTGCATACATCTCTTTCTTCTCCTCCCAGAACCACACAGCCCCAAAAAACCACAAAGGACTCTTTATTTTTAACCAGTTGACATTTTCAATTTGTAGGCCAGGTTTTTGCAAGCAGAACAGGAGCCTTGTGAGCTGTCTGGGGAGGAGGGGCAGCTGGCAGGCTGCTGCTGCTCCGGGCACCCGGCTGCTCCAAAGCTGCTCTTGTTAGTTTATTTTAGTCACCCTAACAGCAAGCACAACAGTTACATGATCCAGAGCTCTTAGGGGACTGTAGGCAGAGGCAGGCCCTGTTATTTCCTGAAGCCTTGGCATTAGCTTTATTACTATATTAGTATATTTAAGCCCCGTTGTGCACAGGCTGTGTAAACAAGGGGAGGTGGAGCCCTCAAGAGCTCAGAGCCCATTTAAAGGGGATGTAGAAGGGCTCTGCTCTTACCATCCCTGGAGTCTTTGAAAGGTAGATGAAAACATCTTATCTTTGCCACATATAACTTCAAGAGGTTTTTTTTTCCTCCTTTCAAAAGGCTTTTTTAAACTTCTAAAAGCTAAATAGCAACCTGGGTAGCTCAACTTCATGTTGGTCCCATGAGGCCTGGAAAGAGGAGCTGTGTTAAACTTCTTGTAGAAAGGCAGGATAGTAATTTTTGAATTTTATGAGACTTAGTGTTATGCTGTGTTCTGTTTTTTGGACCCAGCCCTGAAGAGAGAAAATAAAATTGTCACCAGCTTGGCTTAAGGGAAAACAAAGCAAAACACACACACATAAACACCCAACACACAAAAAAATAATCAAAACAGATTCCATGTTCTCAGTTTGCCTTTTTCCATTACAGAGCTCTGAGAAATGCTTTTGAAGGAATGTGCAGCTCACCAGAATTACAATTCCAGCTCCAGGGGTTTCGGGGAAGCAAGCTGGGTTGTAAACACCAAAAGTCTGTGACATCTCTGACATCCTCGTGTCAGCAAGGGCAGAGAAAGAAAAACAGCCAGCAGAGAACCTCTTAGAAATGCCTGTGGGTCCTAACACTGAAGCTGAGGGTGGCCTAAATACGAAGGGAGGTGGCATGACAGGGGAGGTGATGTGTGGAAGTGCCTGGCTGCTCCTGGCAGGTGCCCCTCGGTCTCTGGGTGAGGTGTGAGTGCAGGGCAGGTGCCTCAGCTGGGTGTGGAGATGGCTCTGAACTCTCCCCTGTCAGGCATGGACTGGAGAATTCCAGCTCAGGTGTTCCTGGAGGTGGCTGAGGTTGTGGTGCCAGGATGTGTTGTAGGAGTGGGTCCATCATGCCTGTTCCAGCTGCTCCAAGGTGACATCCCTGGGGCTCGAGCTGCAGCAAAGCCTCCTGGCTTGGGAAAAACCTGGCACAGGCTGTGCCAGGCTCTGTGCACAGGCTGCAGGGTGGGAGGACAGTCCTGGGTTGTAACTGTGCTTTGTTCTGTGCAGGTGTGGGATGATCCTGGAGTCCCACAGAGGGAGCTAAAGCCCGGGAAACGCGCCGCTGGAGAGGCTGAGCAGATGGAAAAGGTCCCAGTCCTCCTTGCCCTCACATACCAAAGGCTTTGGTCTTCAACTTTGCTCAGGATCCTCTGGAAGAGACTGTTAGACTGCGCTCCAGTTTCCTGGTTTCCTTCCCTTCTTCCCCTCAGCCTCCGCTAAAAATCTTAGAAATTGGTTTGGGGTTTTGCTTTTCTGCCTGACGAGGCGAACGTGTGGTGAGTTCTGAGGTGAGCAAATATCACAGGGACAGGGAAACTTCAGTAGCTGCTGAATAGGACTGTGCTGGGCATGGATTTCAGTCCTAGAGTGCCAATCTTCCCGGGAGCTCCAGGCTGGCTCCTGTTCTTCACTTGAACACGGACAACAACGTGCAAACAAACGTCTCTGTGTGGTGGTGGTGGTGGTGGTGGATGGTTCCTCTGGTTGGTTTATTCCTCCTCCTGGATGGCTGAGGGCCTTCATCATCAGCAGGGGTTGTGGTGGCAGCCCGGGAGCTGCCTCCTGAGGAAATCTGAAGTCTGCAGAGTGCCCTGGTGCTCAGGGATGTTCCCCAGAGCCTCCCACAAGGACAGCCCTCCCAGCAGTGCCCGGCCAGTGCTCTGAGCTCCAGAGCTCCCCTGCTGAAGGCTGCAGTCTGTTCTTGCTTCGGGAGTGTTGCATCAGACCTGGGGAGGGGATGGGGGTTGGTTTGCTTGGTTTACTATTTGGAGATAATGTTTTACTTTATTTACAGCTCCTCGTTTGCCTGGTGTTAAAATATTTCTCCAACTCGTACAAAATAAAGTTCTGTTTCTTTACCAGGACGCTGCCCAGCATTGCCTTTGTGCAGAGAAAATAGGGTCTCATTTGCTTCTTAATTCCAGAGCCCCATGTCTGCTGTTCCCTGCAGTGTCCTGGATCCAGCACCCCTTTCCTATTCCTGGGGGATCAGGCTGCCATATCTACCTCTTGCTTACTTGCCTGGAAGCCTTTTATGCAGCTGATAAAGCAGTATCTGCATATGACTCATTTCCAGGCAAATAATGTGTTTCTTAAATCATTGCTTGACCTTGAGGCCCCAGCTGTAGCTCATTGCCCCAGGTTATGCCCAGGACTGCAGATGACACTAAGCCTTGACTGAACATGCAATTCCTTCCCAAAATGCAGGTGGAAAGGCTGCTGATGTCACTCTCTTGGTGTGGGATGTCTCCTAAGGAGCCTCCTCAGGGCAGGCATTGCAGTGAACCCAACCAGCACTTTTCTAGAGCTCGCCACTAAAGTCCTCCAGCAGATTTCATGTCCTGAAAACTAAGCTTCCCCTCTTAATTTGTTTTTTGTTTGTTTGGTTTTTTTCTCCCCTAAAGATCTCAGGGTTTCATAGGATCCAGCTTTTAGCACAGACAATTGGGCTGAGGGTAAATAAATCCCTGCACAAGTGCTTGGGAACTCTTGCCACATGGTGGGCAAGGGCAGAGGAGATCCAGAGTAGAGGTCATGTCTTCAGGCAAACACTCTCTGGGGTGAAGGGCAGATGTAAGAAGCACAACGTGTGCAGAAGCTGAAATTGTAAAATGCTTGTAAAATTGGCTCTTTGCTTCTTCCTGGCTCTGTCCTGTGCCCAAGTCCAACAGGATCTCAAGTGCTGAAGGTGTTACACCCCTGCAATTGCTTTGAAAGTCCATCCATCACCCTGTCTCCCTTCATCAGTCTCTTCCAAGGTCATCCCGGCGCCAGTTACCACCTTAGGGGTGTTGTCAGATTCCTGCTGTGTTTGGTAAATCTTCAAACTGTTCTGCTGCCCTAAGCAAATATTTACTCTGAGGGAGGATTTCTGATGACAAACCTGCATGTTTTCTTTAATTTCTGTACGTGTCAAGATTATTTCTTCAGGAAAGGAATTTAAAGACCACGGTAGAGAATTCTCCTCCCTTAAAATAATTACATCAGAGCAGTTGTCATTCCTCCAAGAGCTCCCTGCAAAATTAGGCTATCTTTAAAGAACAGTAATTCTGTGAAAGAAAATTGTCCTTTTTCTGCAGTTTTCCCACCCCTGGGGCAGAATTTTTCCCTCTTGGCTAAAGATCTGTGAAGGGTGAGAACGCCACCAGTTGCTGAGTGAGCTGTGACCTCAGCAGCTGTGACACAGGAGGGTTCTTAAGGTGTGACCCACCATCAGATATCTCGGAGAGCTGTGTCCTTATTGTCATTCACTTGTAACAAAAGCAATAAAAGAAGTGTGGGGTCTAAGTTCCACTGCTCTAAAAGTGGCAAGGCTCTGCCCCTTCTACCTGGAGGAAGGGAGGCTGCAGCAGTTAAAGAACACATATAGAGGACACGTGGAAAAAGAGCTGGTGCTCAAGCCAGCCAGTTAAAGAACACATGCAGGACACGTGGAAAAGAGCTGTTGCTCAAGAGGACGCGTTTTTTTTTGAGCTGACTGTTAAAGATAGATGGACTAATAAAGAGGAGGCTGGTTTTTCTCCAGCTGCTGGAGATATCTGTGAACTTTGCATTTCTCTGCTAAACTCTATAAATTGTAGTCGACTATTAACCAAGTGCTGGACTGTTCAGAGCAGTCCCGTAAGGCAGGAGGCTCATACCAAGCCAGCAGCACGTGGTGCCACCTTTTGCACGCAGAGGGAAAGGAAGGTAAAGTGCTGGTGGAAAAACCTCGTGTGCTGTGGAAAGCACAGCCCTGAGAGGATGAACCTGCCCTCTGTGAACCGCAGAAGTGCCTGAGCAAGGTAGGACGAGGAGCAGCGTTTGGGGCCAAGGGCAGGTGCGGTTTGTGGCTGCAGGGGGGGTTAATGCGGTTCACTTGGATTGCTGTGGCAGATGGCAAACACCCTCTCTGTTGCCGGCCCCCCCCTCCCGTAGAATGCCCTGCTTTTCCCGGGATTCCACAGTTGCTGGGCAGCGTCTCCAGCTGCGCCATCCACAGCTGTCCATGGGCTGCAGGGGGGAAGGAGCAGCGGCTCTGTGCTATAGATTCACCTCGTCCATGTCTATGAACCGGCTCATTTAGCAACTTTTTGCAATAAATCTGCCCCTTCCCGCTGGAGATGAGCCTGTTTCCCCTGTTAACTGGCAGCACCTCTGTTTGAAACAGGATCTGGTGACACAAATCTGCCCCCGCGGCGACAGGCTCGAGCAAGGAAAAGAAACGTTCAGGAAGGGAATGATCAGGCAACAAGGACTTACTCCAGCTGGTAGAGCCTGTCGTTGATCGGATGTGTTTGGAAGAGTCACAGAGGGGGATTTTCTGCGTGGGGCGTTTCCATCCCCTGCCTTGGCTGTTCCATCTGTAAAAACCTGCACTCCAAAAGCTGCATCTGGGATTCAAACACCAAAAATGAAGCTGAAAGGAGGGGAGCAGGAGAGCTCAGACAGAAGTGAAGGTGCAAAGGGGGTGAGTATGTTGACTCCCTTCTTCCAGCTTGAGCCTCCCAGAGAGACACAGAACGAGCTCTTGGAAATCTCTGGATGCCTGTAGGGAAAGGAGAAGGGCTGGCACGTCCACAGGGAGGGCAGAGACGAGTATTTCTTGAGCCCTGTTTATGTCTGTCTGAAGTGCAGGGTTGCACTGGGTGCTGTGATTTTCTGTCTGTCTGCAGCTCACCCACCCTGTAACTTCTGTGTGACTTCCCCCTTCTGTGTGTGAGTTTTCTTTCGTATTGTCTAATCAATTTTAGGCTACAGTGTTAGTTTTCTGGGTGGGGCTGCCTTTTACAGCAGCGTTTGGTGGAGTCTTGCGCAACACAACAGCTCGCGTGCGCCAGAGGTTTTCCTAAAATGACTTTATTGCTGTAGCAGCAATGAGATGCATTAGCGAGCTGTAAAAACCAACCAGACAAAAAACCCAACAACCCAGCTCTGTCAACACAGCCCGGGGGCTGAACAGCGACTAAATTGTTGTGAAAGGCGAGTCGTTTGGAGCCCTGGGCACTGTGTACCCACAAACATGGTGTTTGATCCCACTCCAGATGGCAATTCCACTCGCCTGTTTAACTGCAAAGTGCAGCTCTTGTACCCCACAACCAAGCCCTCGCTGAGCTACTCGGATAAGTTCTAATTGGCTTCAGTGACAATCAGTTAGATCCGTGAAAAGCTTGGTCCCAAAATGTGGGAGGCGGAAAAAATTAACAGGAAAGGGATTTTGCCACCTGATGCAAAAATCACTTCTTTTTAAAGCTTTCCTGCGCCAATATCCTGTGTTATTTCCTTACCCAATTTGCAAGTGGGGAAAAGAATAATTGCTTACAACCTTTTTTCCCTGTGGGGTGGTACTTTAAGGATGATAGCTTCAAAAAAAAAATTTAATCATCCCAATGATTCATCAATACCAGCAAAGCACAGAGTGAATTACTGTAATGACTATGTGCAAATCAAGCAGAACAAAATGAGTCGTAATGAAAACAACCCGTTGGGCTTTCACATGCAGTAAAATTAAGGGAAAAAACACAGAAAACCAAGGTTTGAGGTAATTATTTTTACTGAATGTTGTTAATGCTCAAGAACCAGACCTGCTTCTAAGGCGGTGTTTGTTTGTTTGTTTTCTTTCCCCTCTACAGAAAATGACCATTTCCCTTGCCCTGGTGGCTCTGATATCTGCCTTTGGATCTTCTTTCCAGTACGGCTACAACGTGTCTGTGATCAACTCTCCAGCCCCGGTAGGTCCAGCTGTGGAGCAGCCCATGACTTAGGAGTGGGTTTGCAAACATTTAGGAGCAGGTTTACAAACCCAACAAGTGTAACAGTTCACTACAGGGGTTTGTGGGGAGGTGCTTGTACTCTCCTTGTGCTCAGGAGAGCTGGACTGTGAGAAATGAGGGAAACCTCTGGGAACCAGGCACATCCTGTAAGTCAGGATAACTTGTAGTAGCAGTTATCTAGTCCAGGCTTCTCTATCCCTCTCTTGTATTTGTTCTCCCACTCACCCACTCTGGTTTTTTACTAAGACATTCATTTAAAGCTTTATGGCATTTGTTGTTTGGCTTTTACAGCATGAAAACTGTCCTGGCTGTGCTAAACGTGCTCTGTGTTTCATTCCAGTACATGCAAGACTTTTACAACCAAACCTACTTGGACAGGACTGGGAAGCCCATGAACAGTGCCTTCCAGACACTGCTCTGGTCTCTTACTGTGTCCATGTTCCCTCTGGGTGGCTTTTTTGGGTCCCTGCTGGTGTATCCTATGGTCAACAACTGTGGCAGGTACGTGACAGCCGTGCCTGAGATCCCTCACCCCAGGGCTCAGATAAGACTTGTCTCACTGGTCACTCCAGCTGGGAGGATGAATTTCCCACACACACCTTGGCAGTAAAGCCCTTGGGATGAGGGTGAGTTGCTGGGCTCAGCTACAGGTGTTGTCAGGAATTTATATGGTTTCAGGATGGCCAAGGCCAGGCTGTGTGCTGGGCACTGAGCCAGCCAGAGAGCACTGGTGGAAGTGCTGGGCTGAGATCAGGCCCAGCTCCTGCTGCTCAGGGTTCCTGAGAAGCTTCAGTTCTCTCTGGAAGCCTTCATTCCCTGCAGGAAAAATGGGACAATTGGCACTTTCATCAGTCTTTGGGATGATGAGTCATTGGGGTCTGGGACAGCATTGCACCCCGGGGGCCTTAGAAAAACCAAGCTGAATGTCTCCTTTCCTGTTCCTTTGCAGAAAGGGCACTTTGCTGATAAATAACCTCTTCTCCATCTCTTCTGCAATCCTCATGGGGACCTCAGAGCTAGCAAAAACCTTTGAAGCAATCATCATTTCCCGTTTTATCATGGGAATATATGCTGGTAAGTGGATGGTAAAGGGAGAGCCATAAATATTTTCTTGGCTATGTAAGGGTGTTTTATTCTCTCAACAGATGCTCTCACATTTTAGCATCTGCATAACAATGCTGTGCTTTAGCACTGGTCACCTGCATGTTGCAGGAGTACTAAAGATCTCTTGGAGATAAGGGCCCTGAGACTGGAATTTAAGATACATATAAAGGAGGTGGGTGCCTGCAGGTGAACCTCTCCTCTGCAATAAATATCTGCTAGGCACTGCAGCTCCCCCAGCCAGGAAACCTGCTGCTGATAATCTCTTTCCCTAGAGGACTTAAAACAGGTAGTCTATTTTTTTTTCCCTTTTTAACATAATCAGAATAATCCATTAAAGTCGTTGGAGTCAGTGCCAGATCCAATAATCCAGTCCTGGAACTGACTGTTCTTCCTGCAGGAGGAAAGAACTGTTAAAAGGGAGAAAAAAGAGCTCAGAGACACTGGATTTACTGCAAAGATAGTGGGAAGCCAAGGATATAAGTCATTGCTGGTGTAAATGGCTTTTTTAGAGCTGCAGAAACAGGGAACAAACAGAACCCCAGAATTCTGGGTACCCCATGCAGTGCTGGGCAGAGCCAGGTCTGTAAGGGTCCTAAGAGCATTTGGGCTCAATTAATTGGCTTTGGGCTGGCGAGGCTCACGTGCCCCAGGGTTTATTAATGAGTTGGGATATCCTGTAAGGACAAATTTCCTGCCTTAGCTCAGCGACTGTAATTGCTGCACATTACAGATCAAGTTGCTTTCCCCGGGGCAGTTTCTTGTTTTCCAGTTTTATCTACTCCAGTGGTTTTATTTTGGCTTTTGACTGGCCTAAACCTGGCAGCTGCTCTTAGCACTGGAGCTCGGAATAAATGCAGAGGGACCTGTTCAGTGTGATCCCTCTTTCCAGTTATTTATAACCCACAAAGGAATCTGGACTGGCTGTCCTCACTTTGCAGTTTGACCTCGCTAGAACTGTGGGTGTTTTTCCTGGGGAGGGAAGCTGCTGATCCCAGCCTGGCTGCCCTGGGATCTGGGAGGATCCAAGAGTCATTCTCCAGGAGAATCCAAATGTCACCCTCCAGCACTGGTTACACTTGTTTCCATGCCTTTTAGCTTTCATATATCAGCTTGATCACCTCTGTAACCCCGAGCTCCTGAAGCTCAGGACCTCTAGAAATGTCAGATAAGAGCCTCATGTGGTCATTTGACTCCAGGAGTTTGGGTTTTGCGTGCCAGGATTTACAGCCTAAGCAGGGAGCTGGCAGCTCGCTGGGGTTACTGTGGGTAGGCATGTCACGTTCCTCGAAATAACCCATGCCCTTGGTGTCCTGATTGGATTAGAAATCCCTGTTCCAGCATTCCAGCTGCAAGACATCTCAGACCAGCAAAGCTCTCTGCAGAGCGTTACTGAGCAGCGAGTTTTTAAGAGCCAACACGAAGTCATTTCCTTCCACCCTCACACCAGCTTGACTGGATAATAATTCCTTGTTTTGGAGGAAGTTAAAGTTCCTTCCTTACACAGTTTTCCTTTGTGTGTCTTGTGCTGAAGTAGCTGCTGGGAGAAAGCTGCTTTTAGGAAGGTGAACACAGAGCCCTCAAATCATCTGCTGGCTCTGTGGCCAAGACAGGCTCCTGCTCACCCTGTGACTCCTCAAATGCTTTGCAGCTGAGCAGTTAATGATCTCAACGCTCAGAGCACCAGCAGATGGGCAGGTTGCACTGCAGGGCCAGAGCTTCTGAGGGCAGCAGCTGCAGGGATGGATGTTGTACTCCTCCACATACTGAGTGACCCAGTGCCACGTGGTTTTTGTCCCCTCTTCCACTGAGAGTGAGGAAAACACGCACAGCCTATTCACTGGCCAGAAGGTGACATCAAATCTTCAGCTGGAGCAGAAGGGTTTGAGTGTGGAGTTCCTGCGTGTGCTCTGGTTCATCAGGAATCTCTGGAGGGTGTGAGTGTGCTGACACCAGGCATGGCTAACACTGTTCTCTCACTACCAGGTCTGGCTTCCAATGTGGTTCCCATGTTCCTCGGAGAAATGTCCCCCAGAAACCTCAGAGGTGCTATTGGGATAGTCCCACAGCTCTTCATCACCGTTGGGATCCTTGTAGCTCAGATCCTCGGTCTCAACAGCATCCTGGGGAATGCTGAAGGTAAAGCTCTGCCTGGGGACTTTGCTGTGGGCTCCGTAGGGGGAGGATTTCTCACCCTTGTCCTGTCTCCATGGTTGCAGGCTGGCCTGTGCTGCTGGGGCTCACGGGGATCCCATCACTGATCCAGCTCCTTACACTGCCCTTTTTCCCTGAGAGTCCCAGGTACCTGCTGCTCCAAAAGGGCAATGAAGAGCAGGCACGACAAGGTACAGTGTCACCCTTTAATGGAAGGGGAGATGGAAGGGGGTGGATCTGACTGTGGGACACCACTGATGGCAAAGCGTGAAATTCCTCACTGGTGGTGAAGGTGGAATTCTTGCAGCACTGCTCCTTCCTCTGCATGTGTGAATCCCCAGCTTCCCACCGTGGAGGCACTGCTACCCAGCATTACATGTTGTTCTGTCTTGATTTGAAGCAGGAGAGCTCACTGTAAAACTCACTTTGCTCTCCCAACTAGCCCTGCAGAGGCTGAGAGGCTGCGATGACGTGGATGACGAGATAGAAGAAATGTTCCAAGAGGGCCAGTCAGAAAAGGAAGAAGGGCAGTTCTCTGTGCTCAGCCTGTGCACCTTCAGAGGCCTGAGGTGGCAGCTCATCTCCATCATCGTCATGATGATGGGCCAGCAGCTCTCCGGGGTCAATGGGGTGAGTGGGGAGTGGGAAGGGCAGTGGGGTGGAAAGGAAGGGATGGATGAGGTTGATGATGCAGGGCAGTGCTGACACAGGAGATAAAACCCAGGACACAGGAGTAGCCCTTCATCCAGGACACTGGTTCATGTTGTGGTGGGTTGGCCCTGGCCAGTACCAAATCCAGCACAGACAGGTACAGGGGCAGGCTCATATACACATGCAGGATCAAGCTGTCCTGTTAAGGATAATTTGGATGTTTTTAGAGTGCTTGGGCCCGGATCCAAACAACAGTGTCTTCAGAAATAAAGTAATTCAGTCCTCAGGCTTTGGTGCACCAGTGACAGGATGCAGAGCAGCCAAAATGGGATTCCCACGTTCTGCCCTTGGCCACAAACAAACACAGCTGTGGTTTTGCTGCAGGTCTTCTACTACGCAGACAGAATCTTTGAGTCAGCAGGTGTGCAAAGCAGCAGCATCCAGTATGTCACTGTGTCCATAGGGGCCATCAACGTCGTCATGACTTCGCTTGCTGTGAGTTTCTGTTGGGGCTCTCTGAGCTCTGACTTGTCCAGTCTCCCCTGTCTGTGTCTGTTTAATTTATATTCATCAAACCAGAGATCCCAGAATGGTTTGGGTTGGAAGGGACCTAAAAGATCATCTCGTTCCAACCCTCTGCCATGGGCAGGGAAACCTCTCACTAGAATGTTACTCACCCATGGGGTGAGGTGCTTTGCACCTTAATAGGTGTCCTGTGGTGTCCCTTGGGTGAAGGCACCTGGAATAAAAGACCCCAGGTGTTGGGTCTCTCACCCTCTCCTGTCTCTTTCAGGTTTTCATTGTGGAATCCCTGGGGAGGAGGATCCTTCTCCTCGCTGGCTTTTCGTTGTGCTGTGCCTCCTGTGCAGTGTTAACCTTGGCCCTCAACCTCCAGGTCTGTGCAAATGGCTCAGGTGGTCCTACCCAAGCATTTCTGGACTTCCCAGGGAGCAGGCCAGGGTTATATTTTGAAGTACCTCTTGAAAAGCTGTGATCCTGCTTGTCTGAATACTACTTCCAGTATGTCACATTCCTAACACCCATTGCATCCATTTGTTGGCAGCAACAATCATACCCAGGCTGTGAATTGGTGGCTAATTATGGACACATCTGGCACTGGAGGGTGACACTGGCTTTAGAATGCCTTCAAATCTTATTACAAACAGTGCCTTGGATGTGTTGGTGGTGTTCAGATAGGAACCACATCTAACCTGTGATTCAATCCTTCACAGACCTCGGTGTCCTGGATGTCCTACCTCAGCATAGCCTGTGTCATTCTCTACATCATTGGGCACGCCATAGGACCCAGTAAGTATGCACAGCTCGTCCAGTCTGCTCCACAAGCTGGCTAAAGCCAAATGTTATGTTCCATTTCAACCCACAACCTTTGTGGAGCTCATTCATAGACACTGGATTTCATCTCTGTGTGGCCACGCACCACACAAGTCATTTACTTGCTCTGTTTTTTTGTTTGTTTGTTTACTTGTTTGGGTTTTTTTTATTTAATCCTTATTTAATTTATTGGGTGCTCCTAAACACTTAGGAGTTAGAAACCATTGCCTGCCACTGAAGTGGCTGGAACATTTTTTTTTTTAACATTTCAACCGTTTGAACAAATGGCTGAAATGAAAAAAACCAAACCATTGCAATCAAGAATTCAGAGTGGAGGAACTGCCCTCGGGGTTTCCAAATGTCCAACTGCCTTCCAGGTCCGGTTCCCTCTGTCATGATCACCGAGATGTTCCTGCAGTCATCCCGGCCTGCAGCCTTCATGGTGGGAGGGTCTGTGCACTGGCTGAGCAACTTCACCGTGGGGCTCGTGTTCCTCTACATGGAGGTGAGAGACAACCCCACAACAGGGCAAAACTTCAGCTTAAAATTAATCCCTTCGCCCCTGTTTAATCCCAAAAGCTGTAAGTGCCCCTGTTGGTTCCCAGTACCCGTATGGAGGATTATATGTCAAGGGCAAGAAACTGATGTTAGTCAGCATTTTCTAATCACACCTGTCTGCTGCACAGGCTGTAAAAGAAAGCAGCTACTTTGCCAGGTGAATGTCTCACCCTGAACTCAGGAGCATGGAAAAGATGGCAAATTCCCCATCTTTCCCTGTGTTTCTCAGGGAGCCAATTTTACTTTTGATCTCTGGGTCCCCCAGTTCAAACTGATCCCCAGCAGTGACCCACAAACTGCAGCAGGTGCTGAGTTTAGCCTGTGCAAAGGGAGATGGTGAGTTCACTTTGATTTAGTTTGATTTAGCTTGATTCACCCTCCTTTGCCACTAAATTCCTGGTGTTTCCAATAAACCCATGGTGGTGGTATGAGAAGACAGAATCTAGAACCACCCCAACTTCTAGTTGTTCAGCTTTAAAATACGTGCACACCACTGTGGCTGCATTTTTTATAGCCAGTGCAGGGTGCACCATGTCCAAGCCATGTACCTGCCCACCTGGAATGTTTCCCTGACCCCTGCTCTCTCCTGTCCTTGCCCTAGGCTGGGCTGGGGCCCTACAGCTTCCTCATCTTCTGTGCCATCTGCCTGGCCACTGCACTTTACATCTTCTTCATCGTTCCCGAGACTAAGAACAAAACCTTCATGGAAATCAACAGGATCATGGCCAAGAGGAACAAAGTGGAGATTCAGGAAAACAAGGAAGAGCTGAAGGATTTCTGTGCTGTCCCGGGTGGGCTGCAAGAGAGGACGATGAGCTTTAGCAGTCAGCTGTGACACAGCCCAGTGTCTGGCCTGGCAGGGACATCCCTCAGGATCTGTTCAGTGGGAAAACAAATACATTTATTCATCATTTGATACTGCTCTGAGAATCACAGAATCCTTAAGGCTGGAGAAGACCTTTACCATCGAGTCCAAATGCAAACCTAACGCTGCCAGTTCCACCTCTTGTCACCAGGAAAGGACAATGTCCTCAGCCAGCTCAGTTCCTGTGACCAATGTCCCTGATCTCCTGACTGACACACCTTGGGAGACACAAGCCAGCCCCTGTCTTGTCACAAGCCAGCCCTTGTCTTGTCATAAGCCAGCACCACACTCCTCTGAGGAACTGTCACTCGTGTATTTGGGGAAACTAAATTTAATTTGTTATCTGAGGGTGCTGCCCTCTGTGTTGAAAAAAGCAGAATTGTTGAACAGCCTGGCATGGATTTGGTGGTGTTGATGGAGAGAGTCCTTCACATGGTTTACTTTAACCTTACAAAATTACTTTTATACCTGCCCTCAAATTTGTGATATATGTGTTGAAAAAGAAACTGTTTTCATGTTCTGTCTCTACATCCCTTACAGAAAAGAAGGCAAAGGGCTGTGCCTGGCCAGGGCACAAGGATTGCACAGGAGCTGCTTTACATCCCCTTTCCTATGTGATATGTCTGCAGGGGAAGGGTGGTGAGTGGACAGTGATAAACAGAAGGAAACACATGTGCAGGGAGGATGGTGAGAAAGCCAGACTGGGTGAAGGATGGGACAGAAATTTTATTTGAGAAAGTGGCTTCTGTGACCAAGGAGAGCAGGTCTTTGGCATGAAGGATCTAGGTAGGGGGATCTAAAATTCCTGTGAGGGGTGTGACAACCCAAGGTGCTGGACTGTGCCTCAAGTTCTGCTGTTCTTTGCCTCTATCCCACTGATGGAGGCCTTTGCTCTCTTGGACAGACACCCTGGAGCAGCAGCAGGGGCACGGTGAGCCCATACAAAGCAGAAGCAGAAACAAGCCAGTAATCTCAATTCTTCTCAGTTCCCCCAGCAAGCAGTTCAGAATCTCCTGATGCCTTAATTAAAAACCCAGCAGCTGGGATCACTGGCAGCTGGTGTCAGCCTCCAGAACCACCCCCCCGAGGAGGGCCATGGGGGTTTGTCCCCAGGCTATGACATCCCCCCTCGGCTGCCCCGGTTTGCACAGCGCGAGCGCCCGAACCTCCGCAGGGCTGAGAACGTGGCTCCACAGGTTCACCTGAGCCAGCCACCCTGCAAAACCATTGGAGAACGTCCCAAGGAGAGTGTCTCTGTCTTTTCCAAGGACGAGCATCCCTCCAGCCTGGCTCACATACCCCTTCTGGACGCTCGCTGCTTTGCCGGCCGCTCCGTTGAGCCACAGGTTTGCCGTTCCCGGCTGGGAGGCCCAGGCCAGGCAGTAGTGCAGCCAGTCCTGTGCCTTGTGGTGCAGGGGGAAGCTGATGGAATGGCCTCCTACCCACAGCCCCACCTCTGTGCCCACGGTCACCAGCAGCTCGTTGTCCCTCTCCCGTGTGGAGTAGGACAGGACGGTCTGGCTCCCGGGGTGCCGGGATCTGGCCCAGAAACACAAGGTGAAGGCTTGGAGGGACATGTCACGGAGGGGATGGACATCCACAAAGCTCTCAATGTTTTCCACAGGGAAGTAGAAAGCTGGAAAAGCGCTGGGTTTAACACCTGAAAGAACCAAAAAGGCACCGGTTACGTTTCCTGCCGTGCCTATAAATAAGCCCAAATCCTGAAGAATTGCACCCATAGTCTGAGCTGTCTTGAGCCACAGTTACTGGTGTGTGTTGTGCCCACAGGGAAGAGGCTTGAAACAATGAAAAACTGAGCTCCCTCACACAACTGTTTGGGAAAATTGCTTTTCTTCCCCTCCTTCTTTCTCTTTTTCTCATACTGCATAAAATAGAGGTGACAATTATTTATCCTGGGGGAACTGTGAGCTTAAATGTTTCACTGCTTGTAAAAATGTGCTCGCGTGTTGCAGGAGAAAGCTGCAGTTGCTGTGGGAGTACCTACATTAGGGCTGGCCACAACAATGCTTTAATTGAAGAATTTCCATCAGCAGGCCTAGATATGGGACAAAATTCTGCCTGCATGTGTCAGTACCAAACCTGGCAATGATTTAGGCCATCAAGGGCAGCAGGGCATGGGCTCTTCACCCTCCCAAGGTAAGCTGGACCCCACAGCTGTGTGTTTTACCTGCTTGGCTCCCTCTGTTCAGCAACTCTGTCTTCATGTCTTGGAGCTGCGTCTGGATTTGATCCAGTCTGAGGGTGAGTTCTTCTGGATGGCATTGTGCTAGAGCAATCAGACAGGTGAATTTACAGAAGGCCAGGACATCTACACTACATCTTCTACTAGATCTTCTACACTAGATCTTCTAGTCTGGGGGAAAACCTTTGTTTTAAAACGCAGCATCTCTCCTCCCTGTGGTGCCCGGCCGCTCTCACACCTCACCCAGACACACTCGAGCTGAGGACCCTCCTGTGGTGCCACATAGCACCAGTTACCCTGGAGATGTGTGTGACAGTCAAAAAACCGCCCCAAACTGTCAAAATACAGGCTGGCACACACCCTGCAGCCACCACTGCACCTTTAGAAGCCAAGTGTGTTGGCAGGGAAAGAGGAGGCGTGTGGGACATCACCCCTGCAGGGACGCTGCTGCTCCTGGGGAAGCTGATCTCCAGCACACCTGAACTCCTTCCACGCAGGTTTCTCGCCCCTCCCCAGGTAAGCCCAAGTCCTGCCTGCTGAGCCCTTACCTTGGGGGGGTCTGGCTCTGAAGGAGGACTCCACCACCCTCCCGTGGAGGGGCTGGGCGTGCCGGTAGTCGTTGCGCAGGGTCCTGTTCTCCCAGTCCAGCAAGGTGTTCTCCAGGAGGCTGATCTGGCAGGAGCACAGGGCATCTTTAGAAGGGCAGTGGGAACAACTGTTGTGCCCAAAAAGCGCAGGGAAAACCCTGCAGCTCGGGGTTAAACCCAACAGCTCCTTCCAGAGGCATCCTCAGGGGGCTCTCGCTGGGCGTTAGCAAGGGAAGGGAACAGAACAGGAGGGCTCTTATCAGCTAATTCCTGATAAAGGTATTTTGCCTGAGGGAAGTTCTGAACACCTGATGGTAATGCATGCATGGAAATTTTGCTGCTGTGCTGTAGCTTTCTCACCAGTGCCTTCCAGCCTTTCCCCCTGCCAGAAAGAGTATTTCTTTTCCAAAGGGAACACAGTGATCCTCCACTGCTGTAGTCCCAATTTTATCTTGTTCTTCTCCTAGAAGGAAATGCTTCTGATGCTCCTTCATTAGCTTAAAAGCATTACTTTCAATGTAAGTCTAGGCAGGGAAAAACCCTGATATACTGTATAAAAATGTGGCAACTATTCTGTAACTGTTTTAATGTTATGAATGGCTCTTTTATGGCAGTTTTGGGTTTTTTGGGGGGGACTCTCTTACAGTAGTTTATGCCTTGTTGATTCTGGCTGGTCTCTTCCTTTTTTTATAGTGCTTCTGGGTGAGCTTAACAGAGCAGAGAGTTTGTTATCAGTCAGCTGACCTCAGGTAACCTGCTGCTCTACAGCACCTGACCCTTGCTGTGATGTGGCACCACAGTGTCATCACAGCCACCTGTAATTCCAATTGCTTTGGAATCTATCCCAAAAGCTCTGTAGGAGAGATGCCACGTTATCTCATCTGTCAGGCTGTTCCCAAAATCACTGGAGGACAGAAAAGGAAAGGTGAAGCATGGAGGAAAGAGCAGCTGGTGACAGCCACCACTTACCTGTGTGTGTGACAGGACAATTGGGGAGTGGAAGATGGTCCAGATCACACTCTCAGAGCAGGGTGGGGTTGTCAGGGAGCCCTGGTACCTGTAGAAGTGTGAGAGGTTTTCTGGCAGCATGGCTTGGACATCCAGAGAACTCAGCTTTGTGGATTGACCTCAAAAGGGAGCAGAGAGGCAACATCAGCAATTAATGGGGAGTGAGGAGAGAGGTGGAAGCTCTGTTAGAGCCAAGGTTGGCAAATCCCTCTGCCCAAAGGTTTATCAGGACTTTGGCAGGATGGATGGAGGTGGAGAGAAATGAGTGGCCCTTCCAGTGGGTCTGTGGGTTGTCATTTGGAGGTACCTGGGTCCTGGGAGTGGGGGGCACCTGCACCCCAGTGCTCTGCCAGTACCTGCTGGTCCTCCCAGGAGGCAGAGAGTCTCAGTGGGTGTACAGACAGCAGGGAGCTGGTGTTTGGTGCTGCAGGCCTACCAGGAGTCTATTTATTGCTGCCTTGAGCACCTTCCCCCCCATCCTGCTGCTGTTGGAGCCACGTGGGCAGGGATGGTGTGGAGTTGGGCACGGCTGAGGATGCTCAGCCATGGAACTGCCAGCAAAGCAGCAGGAAGAGGTCTGTCCCCAGACCCAGTACCCATGTACAGGCTTTGTGAATATCAGGGGTGGAGAAAGGCATTCCCAGGTCTTACCTGCAAACCTGATTCTTGCCAGTTTGGAGATGAATTCACTGTAGTAGGTGTTCTCAAAGTGCCCATCCTAAACACAGCACAGAAACCTTGATCAAAAGCTTTGTGACCTGCCTGTCCTTCTGCTTTGCTAATCAGCTCTGGGGACTAATTGATGAACTGGGGGATAAAGAGAACAGATGCTATCACAGATCTGATGGGCTGGACAATGCTGGCCATGACCAGGTGTGTACACAGAGATCTCAGGTAGAATAGGGAACTGTAAGGGTCCTTTTTCACCACTTTTAAATCCACACAAAGTCAAGTGTTCCCACTTGCAAAGCAGAGCAAGGCCTTGATGCACAGCAGCTCCCACACCTGATATTCCATCTGCACTGCTTATGGGGCAAACTTTCCTGGGGCTCCCAAAATGTATGGGCTGGTGTTTGTGTGAACCCCAGATGGCCCCAGGGATAACAGTCCTGCTGCAGCACAGCTCCCTAAACTGGTGGCAGACACCATCTCTTAGGACAGATGTACAAACCCAGCACAGGCTGCTTGTGTCTGGACTGAGATCTTAGCACAGGCCCTGATCCCTGGGCATCAAACCTACCTCGTAGAGGAAGGCCAGCACAGCCAGCCCGTTGGGTTTGTCCTTGGCTTCTTCAAAGCTTGAGTAGTCAGCAGAGTTGTAATGGACAATGTGCAGCTGCCAGGAGAGAGACAAGGTCATCCAGCAACAAGTGATGAGTGGCTTCCTGGGTGCTGCCCAGGGCAGACTGCAGGGAGAGCCACCAGCCCAATTCCTGCTGCTCGTGCCTCACAGCATGGCCAAGGAGACCTTTGGTTTAACAGGTTTGTGATGAATGTGGGGGGAAATCTCCACGTTAGAAGGACACCAGTGCTCTTGCAATGGCTTTTCTCACAGTCCTTCTGTGCCAGCACTGTCGGGCTCAGCCCTTGCACTGCACCAGCCACCTGCACTCCTGGGAGCCCTGTCCTTCCCCCTGGCCTCTGCACTGCTTCCTGCAGGCTCTGTGGGCTGCAGCTGCCAGTGTCCCAGCTGGCAGAGGTGCAGTGCCCCCTCCCTGCAGCCCCCCCTGCTCACGTACCTCCGCAAAGTACCTCAGCCCGTCTATGGTGTGCTCGGAGCCACTGGTCTCCAGGTCCAGGCCACCCCAGTGCAGGTGCATCTGGACAGCCGTGTAGAGGCCTGGGAGCCCTCTGGAGATGTTCATGGTGGGTGGCAAATCGATCTGAACTGGAAAAAAAACCCCCACCAGGATTGGAGGCAGCGCTGGGTGCAGCCAACCCATTCCTATGGATCCCCTCACAGTGCCTGCTGCTCCCTATGGATCCCCTCACAGTGCCTGCTGCTCCCTCTGGAATGAGCAGGGACATCTCAGGAACCGACCCCAGCATGGAAGGGAAAACACTGAGCCTAAAGCTGGATGTGCTTAAAATCCTTCCTGGCCTCAGGCTTGTGCCCCACACAGCTCCCACCAGGGGCAGTAGCTGTGCCTGCAAACTCTTCCTGAGCAGCTCCGGGTTTGTCATTAGGCACTAATTAAAGTGCTTCAGTGATCAGCTCTTGCACAGCACATCGCTCCTTGCCGGGCTCTGCATAAATTTAACTACTTCCTTTCCCAGGAAGAAAAGGGCAATATAGAAATCAACGAAGTGATTGGCCTCATCTAACCTGTTGTCATAATTCCCAGTGTTCTGGACTCTGCATTTTCTAGGAACAGGCATACTGGGGGGAGCCCTGTACGTTTGAAAAGGCTGTTTATTTCTTGAAGGATTTGTGGAGACAAATCTCCTTTCCTTCTCCTTACTCACAAAGAAGCTACAAACCGTTTGTCTTCCTGCTAATTTTCACTGCCACAAATCATGTCTCATGTTAATAAATATGCCAAATCTAGAAGTGAAAATGGAAGATTTGCCTCATCTAAATAAAAGCCCACAGCGTGTCATAAAAACTGGCAACTATCCTTGCAAAATGCAGCACGCCATATTAGTCAGTAGTCATAGTTTGGGTTTCTGAGAAGTTTCTTTTGTTTGTGAACTGTTTACAGATGGACAAGATGAAAACATGTTTCCTTGTAATATCCCAAAGGGTCTAGAGTGGAGGGGGGAAAAAAATCTACCTTTTTTCATGAGATCTCTGCTGCCTGCCTTCCATAATGAGGGTTATTTACATCAAGTACCTCACTGGGGTTTCTACTTTCCAGAGCTGTGCTTGCCCTCACTACCTGCCAGACAACCAGTCCTCTTTAAAACAAAAAGAAAGGTCCAAATGCAAAAGGTTTCATTAACCCAAGGTTATCTGTGTGAGTGTGTCTGCACACAGAGTCTGCACTACTGCAAACAGGCTTTATCAGGTGGGATTTAGCCTGATAATAATACAGCTACAGAGAAAATGTGTCTGGTTTCTTAGGTGAGACATTAGGGTTTGGCTCCTGAGAGCCTGTAAGGAGAGTCCTGCTGATAAATCCATCTTTCAGATCTGCTGAGTGTTTTCCCTGAGGGATTCTGCTGCCCTGTCCCCTCTCACTGAAGCCAGTAGAAAATCCCAGCCTGACTCACAGGAGCTGTGAATGGGCTCAGCCGTTTGTCCCTGTGCTTTAGGAAACTGCCCTGCACCGGAAAATCATTGTTGGGAAGTTAACAAAAGAACAGGCAGACACACACGTGCAGTCAGAAAAGCTAAACCTGCAAGAATTAATGTCTAGGCAGGCAGGGCAGCAGTGCTGACACGAGCTGAACGCCGAGCTTGTGTGGGCCACAAACAGGAGGCACAATTTTCAGACACACAATCCTCCTCTGAAGGCACTTTGTCTCTCATCACTTCATCTCCTTGCTCTCACACCATATTTCCCCTCTCTCTGTTACAGAGGGGAAGAAAGGATTAAAGAGCTCAGAGTTTTATGTTTCAAAACCACTCGTTCTCTCCCCACTGCAGCCGTCAGAAAATCCTCTCATTGCTCATCTGTAGTCCAAAAGCATTATCCCAACAGTACCAACTGATGAATTATTTAGGCAATGAATTACAGATTGCAGCAGGAGAGTCTGGGATCTCCTAAATTACAAGCCTTGCCCTGACACTGTGTGGCCAAAGGCCAAGGTTTAACCTGTGCTGTGCTTCATTTTCCCTTCCTGAGACTCAAGATACCCATCCTCTGGCTGTGAGGGAGGGATCCTCTGCGTTGTACTTTGTGTGACCCACATCTAAATGAACCTGGAATGCAAAGGTTTCCATTCCTGTTACTTCTTACTAACACACAGGGTCAAAAGATGGATTTTTTAGTGCAGAGAGGAGTCAGTATGCCCCAAATACCACACACTGCTGTAGTCCTGTTGTAGCATGTTAAAAGAAAGGGTCGATCTAGAATGCTCTGGCTGCCTTTTATCCCCTTTTCAGGTCTGACAGAGAAAATATCTTGCAGAAACCGAACTGCCCTTTATTTGTCTGGTTTATATATGTATTTCTGGAGAGCTTTCCTGGGTGACTGGGGGGAAAACAGCAAAACTAGGGGAGGGGAACCAAGTGAGATGGCAAAGTAAGGTGAGTTAAAAAAAAATAAAATAAAATAAAAATAGGGCATTGTCTGTGAATAGCATTTCCATCAGTTAAAATGAGAAGTGTTCCTGAGCACTGCCAGGAGCCTGACACCCCCCCAGCCTTACCAGAGTGACCATTGTTGGTCATCTTGAAATCCCCCTGCAAAGGCCCATCGTAACCATTCAGCTCCAGCTCCAGCAGCAGGGGGTTGTACCTCACTTTTTTCCTCTGGATGTCAACTGGAGATTGGCTCTTGCCAGCACAGTCTGGAAAGTGCTTCCCCCAGTGCTCTTCATCCAGCTCTCCTTCTGTGAGGAGGGGAAGCAAGGCAAGGTTACAGGGGTGTGGTGAGGAGTGCTGTTAGTGGAGAGTGGGAGAACCC